CATGTAGGTTCAATTATTTTTGAACTGCTCCATATTTTTCAATGAAATATTCAGGCTCTGGTTGCTGCAGCTCTGCTCCCAGGACAGTTCTGCTCTGCCGGCTGCTTCTGTGACTCTGCTCCCAGCACTGACCTGCTTCCTGGGCTGCTTTTCTGGCCCCTCTGGCTCTGGTTGCTGCAGCTCTGCTCCCAGGACAGGGTCTGCTCTCCCTGGGGCGCTTTTCTGGTCCCTCGGGATCTGGCCCAGCTCTGCTCCCTGGCTTAGCTCGGCCCCACTCTGTCTGACCCAGGCAAATCCAGCTCACACGGAGAACGGGACCTCCCTGGCCTCCTGACTCCCTGATTAGCCTGCCCGCCCTATCATTCAGGCTCACCTGGAGCATTGGCCTCTCCCCATTTGTCCTGGAGGTTGTCAGTCTCAGGGTCCTGATTTCTCATAGACCCTTCCCCTTTTAGTGCTGGGAGCTAGCCAATCAAAACACCCCCACTGAATGTTAGTAAGGGGGCAGCAGTCCCCTTACACAGGTGCTGGGCTAATTCTGCTTCTGTTAAAGTCTATAGAAAAAACTGCTATTGACTACAGCAGGAGCAGAGCAAGGTCAAAACCTCATGCTTTTGAAAATCCACACCAGTGTTTCCAGATGTCTAGGACATGTGCTAGGAGGACCCCAAGAGCATTGGCCCAGCTGTGCTCCCAGAGGGAAGAGGCATAAAAGGACCACGGTAAATATATTTGTTTTACATCTCTCCTGTAGCCCAAAGCAAAGGTCTGACTACTCCACCACCAAAGGCTGCAGGGACTGTGGCCTATTGCTGTCTTCCTTTAGGAACAGCAAGAATTGGATCATCATATTGCAAAGAACATTACAAAAGTGAGGAGGGTATTCACATATTCATTCGCCTGACAAGGTGTGGGGACTGCATTCATTGCTACAGTGAGAACCCTTGAAAACATCCAGTTATGCCTTCAGTATTTAGATATGCCTGCCTCAGAATCCACAGGATTGCCTCCACGTCCCTATACTGATGTGAGGAATACCTTGGAATTGCTGCAAATACGGATTTATCCTAGTTCGCTAAGGGCTAGATCATGTCACTAGAGCACAGGCCTTGGTAAGGGGCAGTGGCCTGCTGCCCACCCCTGGAGCAGTGCAGGGAGGAGTCTGGAGTTGGGACAATCAGAGACTTGTAGAGAAAGTGAACCATAATAGTGGAAATTTTTGAACCTCAAAAAATGTAAGGTTCAGTTCAGAGTCAGTTGGGGGCTAGGGTGGCGATTCAGCTCAGCTATTTTATCAAACCAGTTTATCCATCCCTCATACTTCTCTGATTATGACCCTCTGCACTTGTCATAGGCTCCCCCTACTACAGACCCTCTTCTCAGCCCACTCAGCAAGGCTGCTATGTCACTATTAGCACAGCATCACCTAGTGGCCCTGGTGTGTCTTTGGCTCTTTACCCAAGAAAAACACTACAAAGAAACCACACAGGCTTTGTGTTTCATGTACCGCATGCTGGGCAACAACATGAGCGACTCCCTGCTTGTAAAACAAAACTGGCTCTTTATTAAGAGAACTAATGACAGAGATGCTGCAACTCCAGCCAGTGTCCCAGCCATGTGCACACAGAATGACTTCCTGGTGCTTCCTCCAAATGCTTCCTCCTTGCAACCTGTGCTCCTCCCTCCAAGTTCATGCAGGTTGCTAGACTCAGGTGGATCCCAAATATACACAAACATGAGGGCCTAGTTACATATGAATTGCTGCTCTTGTTGGTTTCTGACCATTTTTCTACCACATCGAATACAGTGAGCACAGCTAGAGAACTCAGAAAATATATTCAAAGGGTTATTATCCTATTTCTATAAACTAGAGGCCCCAACTGAGGCCAGGGCTCCATTACACCAGGCACTGGAGATACACAGAGTGAGAGGATACACCCGCACTTGGAGCGGGAGGTGTGATTCTCAGCTTGTGTAGACATACGCATGCTGGCTCCTATGGAGTTAGTCCACTAAAAATAGCAGTGCAGCTGGGGCATGGGCTAGCTGTACTGAGTACAAATCCACTGGACCTCCACCGCTCACTGCTGCTTGTACTATCCCACCGATGCTGTTTTTTAGCATGCTGGCTCCATAAGAGCTAGCATGGGTATGTCTACATGAGCTGGGGCTCACCCCCCTAGCTCCAGATGTAGATATAGCCACAGACAGTTCCACCATGCCAGAGAAATGCTGGGGTGGGGGAAAGGAGAAAGAGACACACTGATTGGCCCAAAGTCACAGAGCAGGTCACTGGCAAAACTGGGACAAGAACACAGGTGTCCTGATGTCCAGCCTGAGTTCGAGCCACAACGCCCTGCTGCGTCCCCAGCATGCAACGCTAAACACAGGCTCAAGCAGCAAAGCTCAGGAACTGATGTGAATTTTGGGTCCTCAGCTGCTCAGAGCTTGAGTCCTAATTTCCATTGGATCCAGGCTTCTGGTTGGATATCAGACATCCCCAGGGATCAGATTTGTGGTTTTGGTTCAGGCCCATATCCGATCTGTGCAGGTTGTCAATGGGCTTAAAGAATCACAGAATCATAGAATATCAGGGTTGGAAGGGACCTCAGGAGGTCATCTAGTCCAACCCCCTGCTCAAAGCAGGACCAATCCCCAACTAAATCATCTCAGCCAGGGCTTTCTCAAGCCTCACTTTAAAAACTTCTAAGGAAGGAGATTCCACCACCTCCCTAGGTAGATAAACTCTACTCTGAATAAGGCAGAGCAGGGACTTGAAGGTCTTCTACATCCTTGCTTAATGCTATAACCACCAGGTTGTTGAGCGTGAGACATTCTGTCTCTGATGAAAAAAGCACTATCTATGTCATTGCAAAGAGGAGTGAGGAAATAATGTGCTTTTAGCGAAATTTCATTTCAACCAAAATGTTCCAATCAGCTGTAGTTTTAACTCCAATTTTTACAGCTCCCAAAAGGTTAAGGTCATTCCACTAAGCGCATGAATTTATGGGCACTTATCAGAATAGAAGGCTCACATCTTTTGAGGTTTGCTCATCTTTGATATAAACCAAGGGCCAGATCCTGGCATCAGATGAGATTGCCCCCCACAGCAATGGAGGGCAGCCTTAAAGCTACCCTAACTAAGCAACTGGTGAGTTCTCTATCCAAGTTCTCTCTGATTAGCCCTGACTAAATAATAGATTGTTTGGTTCAATGGCCGAACTGAAGATATGGATAAACATTGGTTTGTTTTGAACTGAAACTGAGGGATTTTTGTTTTTTCTTGCCAAAAAGAAAAACTGAAAACATTTAATATGGGTCAAAAGGAAACATTTTTCAAAATGACATGTCACCTCAAACATTTTTGACATTTTTCATTCTGAAAATGTCATTTGAATTCAACAAAACTGTCATTTAAAAATGATAGTTTCAAAATGGCTCTTTTCATTTTTTAAAAATGAACCATTTCTGACATTTTTGTTTTCATTTTATTTTAGATTAATAGATTCATAGATACTAAGGTCAGAAGGGACCATTATGATCATCTAGTCCGACCTCCTGCACAACGCAGGCCACAGAATCTCACCCACCCACTCCTGCGACAAACCTCTCACCTATGTCTGAGCTATTGAAGTCCTCAAATTGTGGTTTAAAGACTTCCAGGAGCAGAGAATCCTCCAGCAAGTGACCCGTGCCCCATGCTACAGAGGAAGGCGAAAAACCTCCAGGGCCTCCTCCAATCTGTCCTGGAGGAAAATTCCTTCCCGACCCCAAATATGGCGATCAGCTAAACCCTGAGCATATGGGCAAGATTCACCAGCCAGATACCCAGGAAAGAATTTTCTGTAGTAACTCAGATCCCACCCCATCTAACATCCCATCAGGCCTATTTACCATGAATATTTAAAGATCAATTAATTACCAAAATCATGTTATCCCATCATACCATTTTGTCTAAAACGATTTGCTAGATTTTACCCAAATTCATGAATAGTTTTGATACCCCCAAAAATGCATTTCTTGGTGAATTTACTGTTTGCCAAAAACATTCCCCCTGCTCTTCTTGTGATTTCTATTGTGTAAATGTGAAGGTGAATAATACACAAGCAATGGAGTATGGTAGTAAATGCTGATTCTCAGCTTAAATTTAATGACCTGTGTGTTGATGGGTCACTGAAAATTCTATTGCTGCGGTTCAATTAGCTATTTCTTGAATTTTTCTTCTCACATTTCTTTATCTTCTCTATTACCAAGGGCATTTGCCTGTGAAACGGATTTGATTTGGTTTAGCAGTTCACTCAGCTTCATTGAAGCCAATGATAATTTTGCCATTGACTTAAATGTGCCTGTATCTTACCCCTGCTGTTTATAGCGGGGACCTAGGAGTCAAAAATGTTGACTCTGTCACTAACCTTAAGCAAGCCATTTCTTCTCTCTATGCCTCAGTTTTCCCATCTGTAAAATGGAGATAAAGCTTAATCATCTAATGTTTGCCAAGTGCTTTGATATCCTCAGATGGAGTTAAAGGCACTGTTATCGGCCCAATTCCCTCCTCCAGCCTTACTTAGTCAGAACTCCCATTGACTTCAGCAGGAGTTTCGGGTGAGCAATAACTGTTGAGTTTGATCCAGTGTTAATGCTGTGTGTTAAGAAGGCTGTCTTTACTCTGTTTTCCTTAAATCTGGTATCATCCAGCCAACCCCTATTTAAGATGTTTAAGATAATGTCAATTTAACCCCTGCAGCCCAGAAATGAACAAACCATGGTGGCAGACAAAATGGCCATGCTGATTTTCTGGTGTGTTGTGGGGAAAGGAAATAATGGTTCCACTTTTTGTACGGGGCTTTAACTCCACGGATATGAAGAAGTTAGTTATTGAGCCAGATTCCTCCCTAAGCAAACACTATGCTCACATCCATGTTGTAGAAAAACTACCGTGCTGGATTGCAGGGGGACAGTCCATCATCTCTTCTCTTTGCTTCCCTTCCTCTTCTCCTTAGGTGGCAATCATTGTGACAGACGGACGCCCCCAGGATGGTGTGAAGGATGTATCAGCAAGGGCAAGAGCCCTTGGCATTGAGCTGTTTGCCATCGGCGTGGGCCGAGTGGACATGAACACTCTTCGGCAAATGGCCAGCGAGCCGCTGGATGAGCACGTGGACTATGTAGAGAGCTACAGCGTCATTGAGAAACTGGCCACGAAATTTCAAGAGGCCTTCTGTGGTAAGTCCTAAAGGAGCAACAAAAGGATCTGAGGTGGGGGGCATACCTTCCTTGTTGAACAGACAGGAACAAAGGAATATAGCAATTACCAGACTGAATCCGAACAGCCCTTAAAGGCACAGTCCCCAGCTATCACAAGTGTTACTTGTAGGTGTGAATAGGAGTTTGCAGGAGATTCATACTCTCATAATATGTATTACAGTAGCTCGAAGAGGCACCATCCAAACACAAGAAGACAGTCCCTGGCCCAAAGAGCTTACAATCTAACTACACAAACAAAGTCTAGGAACAGACATAGGAACCAACTTACCCAAAGTCAAATGCCATTTGACTTGTTATGGAGACCATGGCTGCCTCAGTTTCCCTGACTATAAAATGGAGCTAATGTGCCGCTGAGCCAGCAGAAGCTAGTACATAGAACAGGGACTGGGTGGCAAAAGACCTGAGTTCTGTTCCCAGGACTTCACCTCACTGCTTTATTTTCCCCAGTGATGAAATGATGATGATACTTATCTCCCTTTGTGAAGGTCTTAGAGATCCACAAGGAGGAGGATTCACCTTGGTGCACCAGGACAACTCAAGGCCTAGGCAACTTAAGGCCTATTTTGAGCACTCAAGTGGGACTTAAATGGTGCATAGTTCCTGTCTGTATCCTCTGCCCAGGGTTGAATTTGCTCTTTTCTACACTGCAGATGTGCTAACACACTCATTATGGTAGAGTTGCTTATAAATGCTAGGGGTTAACATTTCTTTGTTTAGAACAATCAGAAGGCTTGAGCATTCTTGTATTTGTACTCCTCCTCCTCCCCTTCTGTCTCTCCCCCCACCCCATATATATGGACCAGATGGAAAGTCTCCCATTGACTTTAATGGACTTTGAATCAGGCCCTGTGGTTGTGGTAGAGCCAGGTAAATACTGACATACACTATTTCCTACAAATACTTGCCTGATTTGTAAATGAATTGGTTCCCCCAGATTTGTTACACCTTTGTGTTTGCTTTTGACCAACACTGATGCACTCGGGCCTGATTTTCAGAGCTGAGTACTGGATGTGCCTACTGACTTCAATTCCAGTTTTGTTTGCTCAGGCCCAGGTCAAGTTCTACCGGCACTTGTGTTCGCAGACAGAAAATTTAAAGCTGAATGTGCAAGTATTACTGTAAAATGAACTTTAAGTTTGCTTGTGCACTAATCTAAGCAGAGAACAGCAATGATCTCATGTGATTTATTGGACTAAGCACAACTAACCCATACTGCTGGAAGAGTGAATGTTGGCTATTCACAGTTATTCATGGTCAATTCAAAGAATAACAAAAATTACAAAATTTTCATTAAACAATGTTGAATAGTGAAGTAAATTGTGGTCTACTGCTGTGGGTGTTGGAGAAAGAGTTGTCCAGTAGATAGGGTATTGCACTCGAACTGTGGAGACATTGGCTCTATTCCTGGCTCTGCCACCGAGTTGCATGACATAAGAACATAAGAATGGCCATACTGGATCAGATCAAAGGTCCATCTAGCTCAGTATCCTGTCTTCTGACAGTGGCCAATGCCAGGTGCCCCAGAGAGACCCTGAGCAAGTCACTGTCTCTGTGTGCCTCAGTTTCCCCATCTGAAAAATCAAGATAATAACTCTTATTTCCCTTGGTGCTTTAAGATCTGCAGCATAAAAGAACATTAAAACAGCCATACTGGGTAAGAACAATCATGCATCTAGCCCAGTATCCTGTCTTCCGACAGTGGCCAGTGCCAGATGCTTCAGAAGGAATGAACAGAACAGGCAATCATCCTGCTATGAGCAATGTGTTATTAAATGAGGACTTATTATTGGCTCAACTTGAGTTTATAGAAGGGGAGAACATTAAAGCACATGCTGTGCAGGCAGATAGAGGAACACAAGTCTCGTGCCGTATTTGGTCAAAGCGGCCTTGACACTTTCCCCTTCTGGGTCAATGTGTTTTTATTCTGTATCTTTCCTTACAGATCTGTCAGACCTCTGTGCCTCTGGAGACCATGACTGTCAGCAGATATGTGTCAGCACACCCGGGTCATACACCTGTGCTTGCAAAGAGGGCTTCACATTGAACAACGATGGGAAAACCTGCAGTGGTAAATACCATTGTGCACTCCGATATGAATGCAGCAGTGCGGTGATATGTCAGGGGGTTGTTAAGATAAAAGCAGGCTAAAAGAATAGTACCTTCATCTCAATCCCACAGGTTGTTCACCACTGAGAATTTAACAAAGTAGCTCTCCCCTAGGAAGGATCCTTACAGACTCAGGGCCTAACCGAAAGCTCACTGACGTCAATAGGGATCTTTCCATTGACTCAAACGTGCTTTGGATCAGGCTCTTGGACTGATTTACACGCTTAGCAGAAATAGTTCCTGGAAGGCACCCCGCATCGTCCAAGCAGGGGCAGATTAATCATGGGCCCCATAGATCTGTGGGACTGAACCCCAGCACGCAGAGCCCCGAGGCCCAAATGAAGCCATAGACCCATGTGGGACCCTCTCCCTGCTCGAAGACTGGGGCGCTGGGAGGGGCAGGAGGTGGATGCTTTGGTAAGGGCTCGGTTGCCTCTTGCCTCTGAAGTTAGTCAGCAGCCACGCTGTGCACTGAGTGTGAGGCATGATCGAAGGCAACAAAGGGGATTTACCATCACTCGCTGTGTCAGGGTCCAGTGACTTCATGTCTCTGAGATTTCTGGCAGAGCAAAACCTTCTGGTGTGTGCTCCATTCAATGCTCCCTTTTAATCCTCATACGGTCACTGCCGGTTTGAAGAAGAGACACACTGAGTAATGTGAAATAAGGAGTTTGTTAGTGGCAGAGCCGAAACCCACCCTTGGAAACATTCACGCCATTCTCATTGGCTAACCTTTTCTGGACACACCCATGAGGAGACATAATGTGACTCCAGGAATTATCACTCCTCTGGACTCCTGTGTTCTAATCACTGCCTCACCAAGGATGCATTTTGGGAGTTGGGATTTGGGAGGGTCCCATGACACCAATTCACAGAATAGACCAATGTCTGTTGTTAAAATTCCCCAGTGCACACAGATTAAATGCTCCTACCTCATCTATTCCCCCATGGCCAATACTTCCCCCCTCATGGAAAGCCTGGGAGGACAAATAGACTGCAATGGGTTTTGAGGTTCAGCCAATCACATTCTCTAGCCTACCGCAGAGGCTCAAACAATTATTATGTTCACTGTGCATGGAGATCCCAAGACGAAAGGCACTGTGTACCTGCCAGTGAAAAGCTTTATTATTATTGTTATTATTATTAATTATTAGAGTTGGTTTGAATATTTTTGTCAAACTTTTTTTAAGGAAAAATTAATTTTGTCCAAAATGAACAAAAATTCTTTTTGATCAATTTTTGTTGTTAAAAATAGGAGTACTTGTGGCACCTTAGAGACTAACAAATTTATTAGAGCATAAGCTTTTGTGAGCTAAAGCCCACTTCATCAGATGCATAGAATGGAACATATAGTAAGATATATATATATACACATACCGATAAGTTGGAAGTTACCATACAAACTGTGAGAGGCTAATTAGTTAAGATGAGTTATTATCAGCAGGAGAAAAAAAACTTTTGTAGTGATGATAATTAGAGCTTATGCTCTAATGAATTTGTTAGTCTCTAAGGTGTCACAAGTTCTCCTGTTCTTTTTGAAGATACAGACTAACACGGCTGCTACTCTGAAACCTGTTGTTAAAAACGGAAACCAAAAAACCCAAAATTTTTCTGTACAAGTTTTTGGATTCCAGTAAAATAATTTGGATTTTGAGTTTTGAAAACTGAAATTTTTTTCAACTAAAACCCAAACTTTTAACTGAAAACAGTTTTCAAAAACTGAACAAACAATAGTTTTTGGTTTTTAAATTAAAAATTTTCATGGGAAATTTTGAAATAATATTAAACAGTTGTGTCTAAAATAATTGTCCTTTTTCAAACAGCTATTATTAATTATTATTATATGATTACCAAGGAATGCTTCTACACAGCCAGACACCACATGGTCACCAAAAGCTTTGATGGCGTCATAAAATCACTGGCACTGGCATAAACTGAATATCTAGCCAGACCAACTTAAGGACCTAGGTCGAGATTTATCTGAGCGGTGCTATATCTGCAAGGAAGCTACGTGCTTTTGAGATTTACTATGATTATGAGTATGGCTTTATTATTAATAAAGCCATACTGGTTTTTGTTTTCTCTCTCTCTGGTTAATTGGGAGCTGAACTTCTCACCTGTTCCCTTTGCCCTGTTCTGTTGTTTCTCCCTAGCCTGCAGTGGTGGATCTGCCACTGACCTTGTGTTCCTGATTGATGGCTCCAAGAGCGTGCGGCCGGAGAACTTTGAGCTTGTGAAGAAGTTCATCAACCAGATTGTGGATTCATTGGATGTCTCCGATCAAAATGCTCGCGTGGGCCTGGTCCAGTACTCCAGCTCTGTCAGGCAGGAGTTCCCGCTGGGACGGTACAACAACAAGAAGGACATCAAGGCAGCAGTGAAAAGAATGTCCTACATGGAGAAAGGAACCATGACAGGCCTAGCGCTGAGGCACCTCACTGAAAAGTCCTTTGATCCCTCCAGTGGAGCAAGACCTGGCGTACCCAAGGTGGGCATTGTCTTCACGGATGGACGGTCACAAGATTACATCAGCGATGCTGCCAAGAAAGCCAAGGATTCAGGTAGGCCTCCAGAATTCAGTGGCATTGGTTTTCCTTTGGGTCAAGTATTGGTCTATGTATGATGCTGATTGGCAGTCCCAGAAATCGATGTTCTCCATTCACCATAGAACATGGGCATCAGTAGGGCAAAACTTCGGCCTACATTGTCTCAACCCCTGTCCACGTGCTTCAGTGCTGACTTAGAAGGCCCCTGATGTGGGAAAGGGGGATTTTCAGAGGGGCTTTGACTTTCAATGGGAGCTGGGTAGCTAACTCCCATAGTCCCTTTAGAAGGCCCATCCTCTGTCTCTATTCTGTGTCAGTCATCGGCCTCTTTCTGAGTCTACCAGCAAAGGAACCAGTTAGCACCTGTATGACAGAAGTTATGTTCTTTTGAGCCTTTTTAAATGGTGAATTCTTCCCTCTCTGGCTATCAGTACTCAGTCCTAGTGCAAAGTTTAAACTAAGCTCTACAGGCTACACCCTTCCTCAGTGTAAGACCAGAGTAACTGTGATAACTTCAGGGGACGTACTGGGGGCTTATGTTGGTGTGACTGAGAGCAGGGTGTGGCTCGGTGCATTTGTTCTGGAAGGAATTTGCTTCAGAAATTACTGATCCCCATTTCACTGGGAGAATGGAAGTTCTGTGGCTCAACCTTTACTCCAGGGACACCACATCATAGAATCATAGAATATCAGGGTTGGAAGAGTCCTCAGGAGGTCATCTAGTCCAACCCCCTGCTCAAAGCAGGACCAATCCCCAACTAAATCATCCCAGCCAGGGCTTTGTCAAGCCTGATCTTAAAAACTTCAAAGGAAAGAGATTCCACCACATTCCTACGTAACGCATTCCAGTGGTTCACCACCCTCCTAGTGAAAAGGTTTTTTCTAATATCCAACCTAAACCTCCCCCATTGCAACTTGAGACTATTACTCCTTGTTCTGTCACCTGCTACCACTGAGAACAGTCTAGATCCATCCTCTTTGGAACCCCCTTTCAGGTAGTTGAAAGCAGCTGTCAAATCCCCCCTCATTCTTCTCTTCCGCAGACTAAACAATCCCAGTTACCTCAGCCTCTCCTCATAAGTCATGTGTTCTAGTCCCCTAATAATTGTTGTTGCCCTCCGCTGGACACTTTCCAATTTTTTCACATCCTTCTTGTAGTGCGGGGCCCAAAACTGGACACAGTACTCCAGATGAGACCTCACCAATGTCAAACAGAGGGGAATGATCACATCCCTCAATCTGCTGGCAATGCCCCTACTTATACATCCCAAAATGCCATTGGCCTTCTTGGCAACAAGGGCACACTGTTGACTCATATCTAGCTTCTCGTCCACTGTAACCTCTAGGTCCTTCTCTGCAGAACTGCTGCCTAGCCACTCGGTCCCCAGCCTGTAGCGGTGCATGGGATTCTTCCATCCTAAGTGCAGGACTCTGCACTTGTCCTTGTTGAACCTCATCAGATTTCTTTTGGCCCAATCCTCCAATTTGTCTAGGGCCCTCTGTATCCTATCCCTACCCTCCAGCATATCTACCTCTCCTCCCAGTTTAGTGTCATCTGCAAACTTGCTGAGGGTGCAATCCGCGCCATCCTCCAGATCATTAATGAAGATATTGAACAAAACCTCCCCAGGACCGACCCTTGGGGCACTCCGCTTGATACCGGCTGCCAACTAGACATGGAGCCATTGATCACTACTCGTTTGGCCCGACAATCTAGACAGCTTTCTATCCACTTTATAGTCCATTCATCCAGCCCATACTTCTTTAACTAGACATGAGAGCAATCCTCTGCAGTGCTGGGCTTTGACTTCTGTGTTTGTTAGGTTGGTTGGGTTTCTTGTTGTCTCACATGACAATCGCACTTCCTCACATGTTCAGTTCCCACCCAGTGATGGATCTGGGGGGACAATAGGCTGCTGTGCAGTTCTGCTTAGTGCTCTAAACCACCTTTCATTCCTGGGGATGCACAAAGGCCAAACTGGCTCATGGCACAAATTGGAGCAGCCACAGGACAGCTCTAACTTATGACAGCTAGCATGCTCCCACAGGGTCATTCCACCCACCTAGGATGGGGAGAGCATCACGATCCAGGTCTGCACTATCTTGCCCTCAGCATTGTTCTTCACTGTACCCCAACACTCCCTGTATGCCAGAGTGGTGAAAGCAGGTGGTGTTAAAATGCATCCACCGCCTTTATATCTGCTGAAGATTTCCTCTGGCTGGGGAGAATTCTCAGCAGCCTATTTCATGCTGAGTTAGGGCCCCTTCACGCCATGCACAACACAATTCTGGGGGCGACTGAGCATCTGACCTTATATTTATCATAAAAGTCACTGTCAGCATCAGCTGCCTTCCTGGTGGGGAAAAATAAGTTCATGGAGGATAGGACCATCAATGGCTATTAGCCAAGATGATCAGGGAATACAACCCCATGCTCCAGGTGTCCCTAACCCTCCAACTGCCAAAAGCTGGGACTGGGTGACAGTGGATCGGTCACTCAAAGTTGCTCTGTTCTGTCCATTCCCTCTAAAGCATCTGGCACTGGCCTCTGTCAAATATAGTATAGCCAATGGCCATTGAAAGGAAGTATAGTATAGCCAATGGCCATTGAAAGGAAACCCACAGAGAACGTATTTGATGACAGCAGCACTGAGAACTAGACAATTTTTTAAAAAGTATCAGGGGGATAAATAAACCAGCCTCACAGATTAAGTAGCAGCAAGGTCCAACTGTCTAATTACGAACCAATGGGTAAAATTCACACCTGCACAAGGAACAAGCACCACTTTAATTCCACTTAAGCCCTCAAAATAGGCCTTAAATGGCATTTAAGGGATGCATGGGCCTTATGTTGGCCCTTCACACAAGGGTGAATTCTGTCGAAGTATGCACCATGCCAGCATTCATTGGGGACCATACGCTAATAACCCATTAGGCACATGTAAGCGGTATGGGGACTGAGCAGGAGACACATTTCTGCTGCCAGCTTCCAGTGGGTTAAAAAAATTAGAAAAGAAAAAGATACTTTAAAGACCTTGAAACATAAATATCTTGTGAGCCGCCCTCTTTTGCTGAAAAACTGAGCAAACTCTTTTGCCCAAGTTCCTTGTATCCTGTTTTTTACTGAGTTAAATGGACATGGCCCTTGGGGATATGCTCATGAGTTGCTAAATGCTTCACCTCTTTTAATCTTTGGTCTTGACCATTGGACCTGACTGAGGGCTGGTGCCTAATAATGAAGATCAAACATGAGAGCAAGGATAATTGACATTTGAGAAGCATGTTGACAGGACATGTGGGATACTGTATACAGAGTATGCATATATTGTATACAGAGTCCACAGGATGCATCCGATGAAGTGAGCTGTAGCTCACAAAAGCTCATGCTCAAATAAATTGGTTAGTCTCTAAGGTGCCACAAGTACTCCTTTTCTTTTTGCGAATACAGACTAACACGGCTGTTACTCTGAAACCTGTATACAGAGTGTGTTTGGCTGATATATAAAAATCTTGATGTAACTCACCAACACAATTTATCTTACATAATAGTAACGGGGCCTTGAATTCTGTTTTATTATCTTTGGTTGTTGTTTTTGTTTTGTTTTTTCTATTACCAATTGTTCAGTGATCATGTTTCTTACAGGGAAAAAATAACAGCAGCTTGTTATTACACTCTGAAAATGTTCCAGGAGCTGGAATTTAGAAGCCACATTGAAAATTCAAGTATTGTGCTTGTTTTGATCCAAAGGAACTAAGGCAACGCCATTGGGAAAAAGTTAGCGATGCTTGAATCTAAATAGGGTCAGAGATCACACAAGCATCCTGTAGTTCAGGGATAAATCTTGGCTCTATTGAAGTCAATGGCAAAACTCCCATTAATGTCAATGGGGCCAGGATTTTGCCCAAGATGTGGCTTCAGACAGTTTACATGAGACCCTGCAGACCACCAAAGTACCTGCACAATTGCTCTCTCCTCACAACAGGGTTACAAACAAAACAAAAATAACACACTTGTTAGTGCCTCAAACTTAATTCTAACAGGTTATGTCTTTGCCTAAAACCGTTTCTTACTTACATCAAGCTACTAGCATCTCCAACATTCCAGCAAAAGGGAGGCAACTTTCATAAAAGGGGGCTGGCCCCTTTGTCCCTTCAGTGATAGATAACTAGGGGGTTCACTTCCCTTCTTTTTATAATCCAGTAAACCTTTGAAATGCATTCTTCTGAAGATAAAGTTCTTCTCCCCCGCTGTTTGTCTCTTCCTCTTGATTTCCCAACCCCCCTGTTGATTCATATGTAAATGTAACTTCCATTGTCTCTGGCATCACCTTGCTCAATTTACACTGGAGACCCAGGCACACGGGCAAAACAACCTTCCTTTGTCTCGAACAAACAATCAAGTCTGCTCCCCAAACATATTTTAGAAACCTATTTCCAGAATGCACACATACCTCTTTACACACTAACTGTACACACATTGTGCAATAATATTAATGACCAGAGGATCACCAGCTTTCATAAAAGACCTTACTCAATGCTCTTTTATAGTGCAATAAATATTGAATACAGTCAGTTGATTCAATTTTTTATTCTTTGGGATTCAGACCCTCCTGTCCTCCCCCTTGGATGTCTGGACCCTGATTCTCACAGTTGCCTGGGACAAACATTTCAGTCATTTTGGGGTGATAACAGTTTTAAAGGGTTCTTGATTTCTTTCCTTATCTTTTCACCCAACCCATATATATAATCTCACTTTAGAACTTTTGCCACTGGATATTAAATACATCTGCCTTGGGAGATGAAAGGCAAGTGTACTTACCCAACTAGCTCTGCCCTATGAACAGCCTAGAGGTGGGTCCAAAATAAAATTCAGATCTAGCTTCAGCCTTTCCCAGAGTTCAGTGAGGGACCTGATCCACAGTTTTGGCATGGCCCCACTGTACTGAGAAGCTTAGATACAAATCCAGAGCTGCGTTTTCCCAAATTTACAGGGATTTTGGTTTGAGTTTGTTCCTGTAATACATAAACATATAAATTCTTCCTTGGTGTTCTGAGATTACTCAATATGTGCTCTTGTAGGTCAGGTGGCCTATTCTCAGGATGCACACTCTGCATTAAATGGCCATAACCACACCCATTCCACAAGACCCTACAGCCAAGGGATTTGAAAGCACAGTGACTCCATGTGCAAATGATGTGAGTGTTCTCGAGTGTCCATCTTTGAGCATTTGGTCCATGGCCCTGTACAGTGGGGGCATCCTAGTTTGTACGCAACACATCACGTGATAAATGCAAAAAAAGACTTACAAGCTGGCTGGATTCTTTTGCTGTTCCAATGAGATGGTAGCAGTAGGACTGACACTCCACATTACTTGCAGGCTTTGAGATGTTTGCTGTGGGAGTGAGCAATGCTGTTGAAGATGAATTAAGGGAAATTGCCTCAGAGCCAGTGGCAGCACACTACTTCTATACTGCTGATTTCAGTACCATCAACAAGATTGCGAAGGAACTGCCGACGAAAATCTGTGTCGGTGAGTGGGGGCGAGGGCAGGAGAATGTTTACATGTGGAAAACACTGACTCCTGAAGCAAGGGGCAAAAATACACCTAGAGATTTCCACTCACAGGTGTTGGGTTGTCGTTGGTTTTTTTGTTTCTGTGTAGGTGTGTGGTTTTGTTGGGTTCTCTCTCTCTCTTTTTTTTTTTTTTGGTCGAAATTCTTTGATTGAAAAAGTGTTAGTCTGCCCAAATTATAACATTTTGCACTTCTGCCGTAGTGTTTTTCAGCCAAAGGTCTCAGCATGCTTCTAAACCAGTACTTCATTAAGCCTTCCTGAACTGCATCACTCAGCAATTCCTCTAGGGGACTCCATCACTGGCCAATTAAACTGGCCCTCTCACCCCTTTTGCAACCAGAGGGGCACAAAAAGACTGGATGACAGCCAAGTATCTGACTCAGATCTGTTAATTGGCTGAGAGAAGCAAGGTGCCACATTCAACTTGACGACCTTTCTGTTTGTCTGTAACACAGTCACTTTTGAACACTGCATCTGATCAATTCCAAAATTTCAGGAAATGGTGTAGTCATGAATAAGCAGAACCCTGCTGAAAATCAGAAAAGCCATATCTGGGTAATCAGAATTTTAAAAAGTATTAGGTAAATCATTGATGAAATACAAAAATTTGGATAACACACAGAGCTTGGCCTACATAAGCAATGAAGTGTGCAACCCTCTAGTTAGTTTAAAGTTAAACACAGCAATAACCATTCAGAGAATCTGGCTGAATGATGTATTGATTTCCTCCAGACTTCTGGCTGGAGAAAAAGCTTTCGCTTTATTTTACTTGCCACCATGGTTTAGGATTTGATATATTCCTTTCTTGCTCTGTCTGATGGCTGATTCATCATCACCTTTGTTCTCTTATCCACAGAGGAGGACCCATGTGAATGTAAAGCCATTGTGAAGTTCCAGACAAAAGTAGAAGACCTCATAAAGTCATTGACACGAAAACATATCCTTTAGAAGCAGCTCATTTTCACAATGTTCCATTTTCTAGAGAGAGCAGATTAGCCAGACCTTCCAGCCAGGGAGACAGATTAGTGCAATGGTCAAGAAACTGGAGTAGGAGTCAGGAGACTTGGCTTCAGTGTTGAGATTCATGGCATGCACACAGAGAAGTTAGATAAAAACATTAAATACTCTTGCCGAAAGGCTACAACATAAAACTGCTTTATTACACAGAATTCAGCACAAGAGCACACAAGAACGGCAAAACAGAGAGAGACAAAGCAGGCTGCTCCCTATAAACAGTGTTGCAAAATTCAACCCACCTTGCTCTAGGTCTCTGCAGACTGACTCTGATCTCATGCTTTCCTGCAGAGCCCCCTAGACCACAAACTGCGCCAAGAAACTTTTTACAAATTAAAGGGCCAGCCTACAATTCCAACACTGTTTTCAGAAACACCACATTCTATATCTAGATTCTGTGCAGACATTAACAAAGAAAGCAGTCCCTGCCATAGAGAGCTCACCTTCTCCAAGACAGGCAGGACACAACAGGAGGACAAGACAGACAACTAGATTGGCACTTGCCAAACCAATGCCAGCCAATAATGATGTACAAGCACCACAGCAGAGATAGGCTTTAAGGAGGGATTTGAAAGAGGTGATGGGGGCAGATTTAGGGAGATTGATGGGGAAGTTTTCCCATTCATGAGTAACACGTTTTGTTGCACATGCCTCACATCAGCCCGAGAACAGGTGCAGGAGGCAGTGGAGTGGGAGTTAGCCTGGAAGGCTAGACAGTCAAAGGGAGTTTTGAGGAGGGACTTGAAGCAGGACTGAGGACTCCTGCCATGTCAGAGAAGGGAGGCTCTCTAAGAGCGGGTAAGCAAAGAAGCACACAAGACTAATGGAAAGAGATAGAAGAAAGCAAGAGGCAGGGAGTGGGCAGAATAGAGTGGCCCTGCTGCAAGGTATGTGCTAAATACAAATCTACCAGCACTTCATCACAAGGAGACACTGCTTTAAGTATGCAATTGATGCCTGTTCCTACTGAGTCAATGGCAAAATTCCAGTTCACTTCAGTGAGAACAGGAGCATTGTACTGCATCATAGGGAGACCTTCAATTTAGCAGACAAGGGCAGAACGAGAGCCAGTGGCTGGATGTAGAAGTTGGAGAAATTCCAGCTGGAAATAAGTTACAACTTTTTAACAGTAAGGGTAATTGATAAATTACTGGGAGAACTCACTGAGGGATAAGGTAGATTCGCCACCACTTGGTGTCTGTCCACTGAGCTTGGATGTCTTTCTAAGTCAGATGCTATAGGTCAGCCCCAAGTTACCAGACCCCACAGTGTCACTTATGGAGTAAATTCCCTCCTCTGTAGGTATCATTGGGTAAAATTCTAGGCTTGATGTTATGCAGGAGGTCAGACTATATCAATGTTTCTCAATCACTGGCTCATAACCCCAAGAGGGGACACAAAAAGCAATCACAGGGTTGCAAGGCATTGAAAATGTTATGAGAATCTAAAATAAAGAAAATCTCACTCTGAGCTTCCCGCACAAACTTATCCTTCAAGGTCATCATCTCAAAACACACACAGAGATCATTGTTACGTTTTTTATTCTTGCTTTTTATAGTAAACGTAAGGCAGTTGTAAAAATGTTTGACTTCAAATACAGGGTCAGCAACCTGAAAAGGTGGCGAAATCATGGACTAGATTATCATAATTGGCCAGATCCTCAGCAGACATACATTGGGGTATCGCCATTGACTTTGAGTTAATCTAGTTGAGGATCTGGCATGGGAATCACTGAAATGCACTGCCATTTTTTCCTTAACTCTTGCTCACTGGAAGCTGTGACAAAAAGGATTGCAGCCCTGGAAAACAAGATCATCTAAACACCCAGAGCACTATTATATTTCTCCTTCCTAACGTAACAGAATTGTTCCAGAAGACCTTCATGCATACACAGGAGCAACTCAGCCACAGCACTACATCCAGCTTTCTAAATAAAAAAAAAAAAAAAGGAAAAAAAAGTCTAGTCTAGCTGAATTCTTTTAAAAAGGAAACATTATAATGTTAGAGCAGACATCATATTAAAGGGCAAAGCACTGTGAATCACTGGGTGCCAAAATGTGTGAATGTCCCTTGCATCCTATAGTATACATATATAAAAACCCAGAAATATATTTTTTATTCTAAAGCTTAATATATAAGGGAGGAGGGATAGTTGGGGGGAGGGATAGCTCAGTGGTTTGAGCCTGCTAAACCCAGGGTTGTGAGTTCAATCCTTGAGGGGGCCATTTAGGGATCTGGGGCAAAAATTGAGGATTGGTCCTGCTTTGAGCAGGGGGTTGGACAAGATGATCTCCTGAGGTCCCTTCCAACTCTGATATTCTATGATTCTATATATATATATATTGTTACTAAGTACTTGATTATGAGTTCTGTGAATCCTTGCTGTGTTCTTCGGCATCTTTTGTTTCTGTGCATACTGAAATGTTATTTAAGAATCAAATTGGATTAAAAGCAACTTGGATCCTGAGCATGAAACCCTACCCCACAGACGACCAATGTATTATTATAAGCACAAAGCATTTATCAGTAAGTAGGTGAAACTAAGCAGTGATTGCTGAGTGTGGCATTGGAGATGTGCTAGGATGGGACACTCCTGCAGCCAGGTTCGACCCACAGCTACTGTACAGTAGACAAAAGTAAGCTCAGTTCTCCTAGTCAATTAATACCCCTGCAATGTTTTGGCTAGCCAGCACATGTCCCATGTTTGGCCTTCCATGGTGAAGTTCTGAACTGCACAATGAACCCACCCATACACGGTTTTATGTCACCGTAGGTAGTGCTACCAGCACCAATCCCATGGGATATGCCGCTACCCGGCTGCTGGGCTCTGTGGTTCCTTCTATCAACGTTCTCAAAAATGAAGTTATGGTGCCCTCTCTGCCTGCAGGGCACCAGCTCCCTCTCCAGTCCCATGTCTGGAGGCAGCTCTGCTTTTCATATTTTGATCATCTCATTTCATTTAGACCCATTTCCCTTCCCGGCTGGTGGTGAGCCAGGCTATACAAACAACCATCATGGTCCAGAGGTGTCTGACGTTGCATGCCACACCGAGTTGTAGTCGCCGTGGCAGATGATGTTAAGCAGGGAGTATCCGGTCTCAGCGACGCATGCCACGTTACACATCCCTCCAAATGTGAGCATGAGTGGTTGGGTTTAGGAATTATTTTTTTTCCTATCAGAATATTTATACTTGAGAGTATGTAAAAAACTTTTCAGAATAACACAAGCCTGTTCAGAAATGTCACCATAGACAATGTTTTTGGATGGAGGAAAAAATTAAAAGTTGGCTCAAATATTTGAAAGGCTGGTTGTTTTGTGTTACTGGTTGTAATTATTTGGTTATTTATACTATTATGTATTTGTTCAGTGTCCAAAATGTGCAGTTAAATCATATAGACAGATTCACCTCTCAGATTTCTTCGACTTCTTGGACTTTGGTGTCAATCCAGCACCAATGGGCATCAGTGGAAAGACTCCCAGGAAAGGCTCCAGTGTGAGAAAGTCTATAGATTAAGTCAAGTTCCTGTCCTGAGGAGCTTGCAACTTAAAGGGCTAATTCTGCTCTCAGATATACGGGTGTAAATCTGACGTAACTCCACTGATTTCATACTTTAGCATTATACTCATGTAACCCTGCCATAATAATCCTGTAAACCCCCTAATCACATGAGTAATCCCTATCCATTGCTTTCAATGGGGCTACTTGCTTGGGTAGTATTCTATATAGTACTACAGACTGTCTTAAAGAAGAGTCATTTATTGTAGAAAACAGCTACAATTGCAGGCAATCAAACAGGCTTTCACAGTATTTGAGTCCCAGCTTTGTCTCTTTTGTTTACCATGGACCCTACCCAGCTTGGGTCTCCATACAGCAAAGAGTGACATCTAGTAGTTAAAAATGATCCTGCAACTAAATATATCAGCAGAGGTAGAGACTACTTAGGGAAGTAGGGGCATTCATTATGTTAGACGTCCAATCATCACCAACCTTCTTGGTGAAAACCAAAACAAAGAAGTCATTAAGCACCTCTGCCATTTCCACATTTTCTGTTATTGTTTTTCCCCCTTCATTGAGTAACGAGCCTACCCTGTCCTTGGTATTCCTCTTGCTTTTAATGTATTTATAGAAAGTTTTCTTGTTACCCTTTATGTCTCTAGCTAGTTTGATCTCTTTTTGTGCCTTGGCCTTTCTAATTTTGTCCCTACATACTTGTGTTATTTGTTTATATTTATCCTTTGTAATTTGACCTAGTTTCCACTTTTTGTAGGACTCTTTTTTGATTTTTAGATCATTGAAGATCTCCTGGTTAAGCCAGGGTGGTCTCTTGCCAGACTTCCTGTTTTTCCTACGCAGTGGGATAGTTTGCTCTTGTGCCCTTAATAATGTCTCTTGAAAAACTGCCAACTGTCTTCAATTGTTCCCCCCTTAGTCTTTCTTCCCAAGGGATCTTACCTATCAACTTCCTGAGTTGGCAAAAGTCTGCCTTCTTGAAATCTATTGTCTTTATTTTGCTGTTCTCCCTCCTACCATTGCTTAGAATCATGAACTCTACCATTTCATGATCGCTTTCACCCAAACTGCCTTCCACTTTGAAATTCTCAACCTGTTCCTCCTTATTTGTCAAAATCAAATCTAGAACAGCCTCTCCACTCGTAGCTTTCTCCATCTTCTGAAATAAAAACTTGTCTCCAATATATTCCAAGAACTTCTTGGATAATCTGTTCCCTGCTGTGTTATTTTCCCAACAGATGTCTGAATAGCTGAAGTCCCCCATCACCACCAAGCCCTGGGCTTTGGATGATTTTGTTAGTTGTTTAAAAAAAGCCTCATCCACCTCTTCTTCCTGGTTAGCTGGTCTGTAGTAGACCCCGACCATGACATCACCCTTGGTTTTTACCCCTTTTATCCTTACCCAGAGACTTTCAACCAGTCTGTCTCCTATTTCCATCTCAACCTCAGTCCAAGTGTATACATTTTTAATATATAAGGCAACACCTCCTCCCTTTTTTCCCCTGCCTGTCCTTCCTGAGCAAGTTGTAGCCTTCTATACCAATATTCCAGTAATAAGTGATGCCAACTATGTCATAGTTGTATTTATTTACTAGCATTTCGAGTTCTTCCTGCTTATTTCCCATACTTCTCGCATTAGTATACAGACATCTAAGATACTGATTCCCCCTCCCCCATCCAGTTCTGTCTTGTGTCTCTCTTGTCCCTGCTATAACAGCTCCTGCTCTCCCCAAATTCTGACCCTTCTCCCAGGTCTCCATGTTTTTGACTAACCTGTGGGCTTTGTTCACCTTTCCCCTTCCAACTTAGTTTAAAGCCCTCCTCACTAGGTTAGCCAGTCTGTATCCAAATATTCTCTTCCCCTTCCTCTATAGGTGGACCCCCATCTCTTTCCATTGTCAAGGAAGCCGAAGCCCTCCTGGAGACACCATCTTTGCAGCCAGGCATTCACCTCCAGGATGTACCTGTCTCTGCCTGGACCCCTACCCTTGACCAGAGGATCAAACAGAACACCACCTGTGCTCCCAACTCCTGCACCCTCACTCCCAGAGCCCTGTAGTCACTTCTGGTCTGTTAAGGGTCATACCTCACAGTATCATTAGTGCCCACATGGATGAGTAGCACGGGGTAGTAAGAGGGCCAGATGATCCTCGACAATCCCTCCATAACGTCTCAGATACGGGCCCCTGGCAGGCAGCATACCTCCCAGGATGCCATGTCAGGGCAACAGATGGGTGCCTCCGTCCCACTCAGAAGAGAGTCACCAACCACCACTACCCTACATTTCCTTCTGAAAGTGGTGGCTGCGATCCTCCCAGCCTTGGAGGTACATGGCTTCTCCTCCTCCTCTGGGGGTGATTCCTCATCGCTCGTTGCCAGGGCAGCATATCAGTTTTCCATCACCATGGTGGGTGGGTTAGAAGTAGGGGTGGAGCACTGCCTGCTGCCAGAAGTAAGCAGCTGCCAGTGTCCTCCCTGTGACAGAGCCATATCCTCCTCCCCCAGTGTGTGACAGCAATCCTCTGCAGCTGGATAGATTCCTCAGCCTTGGATGTCTCCATATGAATACTCTCGAGGAATTCCTCGTGGGCACGGATGCTCCTCAGCCCAGTCACCTCCTCCTATAGCTCTCCCACCTGCTTCCTGAGAGATTCCACCAGCAGGCACCTTTCACATTGGATGGTCCCGCAGCCTGGCTTTCTGTGAGTTGGAAATGCAGGCCACAGTCTCAGCAAATCTGTACCAGGATCGGTAGAGACATCCATGGTCAGGTTCTCTGTCTGGATACAGGAGCAGGTGGAGGAGACAGGAGCTGCATTGGCACTAGTGATGAGGCCCTTCCTAACCATAGCAATTATATTACGTCTCCTTCCCACAAACTTCCTCTCAAACTCCCCTGTTTGGGGTCCCTGTTCGCTAGCTCCCCTTGGTTGCTTAGCCTCTGGCTTTTAAGGCCTTCTCTCCTAGGTCAACCTTACCCCCTCATTAATCACACAGGGTGAGGGTGATCAGAAGGCTGATTGAGGCTGATCAAAGATGATCAAGGATGATCCAGGGAACAAAGGCTCAAACAGTCCCCAGACACACAATCCCAACTGACCCTGTAACTGAAATAACCTGAAAGAAAAAGAAAAACACAAAAAGCCAAACAAACTCATTCACCCCAAGATTGGTACTCGCACCTTGTTCATTCAGCAGTGGGATCTCCTTCTCGCCCTCTCAAACTCCCCTGTTTGCTAGCTCCCCTTGGTCACTTGGCCTCTGGATTGCAAGGGAAATTTTGCAGGTAAAAACACTTGCAATGCATATTTATGTGGTTCTAGTTTGGAGGCCTGAGTTGAAATTTACCCCAAAAGATGTCAAAGATGCAGGAAATATTTGATAGTGCTCATCAAGATGGCCATTGTCTTCACTGGGTGTTGGATTGGACCCTAAGAGTTCACTTATTCCCCATGGCACAACATGCATAGTGATGAATCAGAGTTTTACTGGCAGTCACAAAGCTATCTGGAGAGATGCTAGTTAGTTTCCTGGCTAGATAAAAATGCCAAGCGAGAACGGGGCTTTTAGAGATTGAGAGCAAGCAGATTGCATAAACACTGGGAGGGGACAAAGAAAAAAAAGAAATGGAAAGAAAATCTAGAAATCACACAACTATGAATGTTCTGAGCCCAGA